GATTCAAGATCTCCTTGTCCCCTGAGATCATGGAAAATGTTTATCACCCTGCTGTAAAAGAGTGTTTGGCCAGGGGCAGTGGCTCACGCCTGTAATCCCAGCACTTTGGGAGGCCAAAGCAGGCAGATCTCAAGGTCAGGAGTTTGAGACCAACCACTACGTTGGCCACAACATGGTAAAACCCTGTCTCTACTAAAAATACAAAAATTAGCCAGGCACAGTGCCATGTGCTTGTAGTCCCAGCTACTCAGGAGGCTGAGGCAGGAGAATTGCTTGAACCCGGGTGGCGGAGGTTGTAGTGAGCCAAGAGTACACCACTGTACTTCGGCTTTGGTAACAGAGCAAAAAAAATATATATATATATATATATGTATATATAGTACTTAAAGTGTATGCAGTGGTGTTTCATTCCTTGGATCACATACAAAAGGTGTTATTAGCCGGGTGCAGTGGCTCATACCTATAATCCCAGCAATCTGCGAGGCCAAGGTAGGTGGATCACCTGAAGTCAGGAGTTCGAGACCAGCCTGACCAACTTGGTGAAACCCTGTCTGTGCTAAAAATACAAAATATTAATCAAGCCTGGTGGTGCATACCTGTAGTCCCAGCTACTTGGGAGGCTGAGGCAGGAGAATCACTTGAACCCAGGAGGCACAGGTTGCAGCGAGCTAAGATTGCACCAGTGCACTCCAGCCAGGGCAACACAGCGAGACTCCATCTCAAAAAAAAAAAAATGAAAAAGAAAAGGCACTTTTATAATCTTTTTTTTTTTTTTTTTTTTTTTTTTTAGTCAGAGTTTTGCTCTGTCACCAGACGCCAGGCTGGAGTGCAGTGGCGCAATCTCGGCTCACTGCAACCTCCGCCTCCTGGGTTCAAGCAATTCTCCTGCCTCAGCCTCCCGAGTAGCTGGGATTACAGGCGCACGCCACCACACCCAGCTAATTTTTGTACTTTTTAGTAGAGATGGGGTTTCACCATTTTAGCCAGGGTGGTCTTGATCTCTTGACCTCATGATCCGCCCATCTCCGCCTCCCAAAGTGCTGAGATTACAGGCATGAGCCACCGTGCCTGGCGGCACTTTTATAATCTTATAATGGAAAACTGTAAAGGAAAAGACTGTCAGATTTGACTGCATCAAAATTAAAAATTTCTCAATGGGGAAAAAATGACATAAGCAGAGTTTAGAGGTCAATTGATAATGGGAGGAAATGATACATAACAACACACTAGGTCAAATCCTTAAAGAGCTGCTACAACGACAAAAACACAAGCAGCCAGTGGAATATTTGGGCAAAGGCTGCAAATACAGTTCACAGAAGAAGAGAAACACATGGCTAATGAGGACGTTCCACTATGCATTTAGTCAGAGAAGTACCGTTTAAAACAGGTACTATTTTTCACCAAATGGACTGGCAAAAATTAACTGGCTGGGTGCGTGGTGACTCACGTCTGTAATCCCAGTTCTTTGGGAGACTGAGGCAGTTAGATCATGATGTCAGGAATTTGAGACCAGCCTGGCCCATCTCCCTAAACATACAAAAATTAGCCGGGTACAGTGGTGGACGTTACTTGGGAGGCTGAGGCAGGAGAAATGCTTGAACTTGGGAGGCGGAGGTTATGGTGTGGCGGGATGGCGCCATTACACTCTAGTATGGGCAACAGAGCGCAGGACCCTATCTCAAAAAAAAAAAAAAAAAAAAAAAAAAGACTAATTATATCCAGCATTGGCTAGCATGGTGGGAGTGTAAATCAATCTGACATTCTAGATGGGCAGGTGGCAGGCAGATTGTAAATGTGTTTGTCCCTTGGCTCAGCAGCTCCCCTTGCAAGCGCTCACCATACAGAAGCACCCACACAGGACCACATGATGGCCACTGCAATATTATGTGTAATGTCCAGGAACTGGAGATGATATCCATATTTAACAATGGTTGAAGTATGGTGCATAATAGCGATATAGAAATATTCATGGATATACCTTAAAGGCAAAGCAAAGCAAGTTTCAAATCAAACATAGCATGATCTTCTTTTCTTTTTTCTTTTTTTTTTTTTTGAGTTAAGTTCTTGCTCCAGGCTGGAGTGCAGTGGTGCTGCTACAGCTCACTGCAGCCTTGAACTCCTGGGCTCAAGGGACACCTCCCACCGACCCCTGCCCCCAGCCTCTCAGGTAGCTGGGACTATAGGTTGCATGCCACCATGCCTGGCTAATTATTATTATTTTTAGTTTTATATTTTGCCCTAGCTGGAGTTCAGTGGTGCAGTCTCGGCTCACTGCAACCTCTACCTCCTGGGGTCAAGCAATTCTCCTGTCTCAGCTTCCCAAGTAGCTGGGATTACAGGCAATGCGCCACCACACCCAGCTAAGTTTTGTATTTTTAGTAGAGACTGGATTTCACCATGTTAGCCAGGCTGGTCTTGAACTCCTGACCTCAACTGATTTGCCTGCCTTGGCCTCCCAAAGTGCCGGGATTACAGGCATGGGCCACCACACCCAGCTACTTTTTAATTTTCTTTTGTACAGACAGCGTTTCACTGTGTTGCTGAGGCTGGTCTCGAACTCCTGGCCTCAAACGATCCTCCTGCCTTGGGCCTCCCAAAGTGTTGAGATTACAGGCATGAACCACCACTCCTGGCATTCCTTTTTTTTCCCCCTCTTTTTTTAAAATCTGTGTATACAGGAAAAGAGTTGGGGGGATACGTGTACACCAAGCTGTTGGCACTAGCAAACGGGAGCAAGGGGCCTTTATGCTTTATACATACCTCTGTGTTGCTTGCATTTTTACAATAAGCAAATGTTTTCAGAATAGTTTTTCTTTAAAGGTATCTTAGCTTGAGAAAGGAGTCTGAGTTCCAGCCCTAGGTCTGTCACTTAACTAAAAACTATATTGAGGGACTTAATCTCTTCTCTGTAAATACATTCTTTCCCATGTGGGTATTATAATCAAGAGAATGAATAATATTCTGTTTTGTTTTTTTAATGAGAACATTACATTAGATCTCTAAGGATCCTTCCAACTCTAACATCTGTCCAAAGGCTCACTGATCTCAGATTTACTCAGATTTTGAAATTAAAGGAAAAAAAAAAGCTCTATCCCAATGTGGTCATACTTAATACTGAAGTGTGCGATGATGCTTCCAGCGTCGCTGAGAGGGATTGTGCAGTTTTTGCAGGCTCATTGCTCTTTCTTTCAGCTCTAGAAATCTTTCCTTCTGATGCTTCGATTTGCCTGCCCTTGAGAGGAAGGGAAGGGAGGACCCCGCAGGACTGAGGTTTGTCCTGGCTGGCAGGCCTGCCAGCCTTGCTCTGGGCCACAGAGAAGAGAGGCTATTTTTGTTGTGGGAGCTGAATCGTTGGCCTCTCTCCAGGAGCACATGCTCGTTGGCGTGTTTGATGTATCTTGCCTGCTCTGGCCGTCTCTACCACTGCTTCCAGAAAACACTTGAGGATATATTTGTCCCAAGAGCTTCAACCTGAGATCAGGATCAGGCATCTGTGCTCTCTTCTTGTGTTCTACTCCCTTCTGGCCACTGAAAGGGCAGTAGCAGAACAGGATATGACTAACTTGAACTTGGGGAGCCTTTTCTCTTAAGGCTTTGCTTGAAAGGGGCCTTCTCTCTGTAACTGTGGCTGCAGTGAACTCAGTCCAATATCTGAGCTTTCTTATCCTCATCTAGGCCAGTGGAGCTGCCCTCACCCTCACCAGCCTGAGGGGGTTCATCTCACCTACTGTCCAAATCTCCTTTTATCAGCCCAGCCCAGGAACAGGGGTGTCCTTCTTGGTGTAGGCCTTAACGTGAGCGTGGCATGCACCTAGATCCATATCAGCTTTGTCAGGTTCCTCAGGCAATTCTAGTATGCCATGGCAAGAAGGCTGTGAGGGTAGGCACCCCAGTCCATCAGCGCTTAGTGTGTGCAGAGGGCAGCTCCAAGTGGGGCCACTGTGATATGAAGGAGGATTGTTTGAACTCAGGAGGTTGAGGCTGCAGTGAGCTGTGACTGTACCACTATACTCCAGCATGGGTGACAGAGCGGGACCCTGTCTCAAAAGAAACAAACAGGCCAGGTACAGTGGCTCCTGCCTGTAATCCTGACACTCTGGAAGCCAAAGTGGGTGGATCAACTGAGGTCAGGAACTTGAGACCAGCCGGGCCAACATGGCGAAACCCCGTCTCTACTAAAGATAAAAAATTAGGATGAAGCAATTTGGCCGGGCGCGGTGGCTCACGCCTATATTCCCAGCACTTTGGAAGGCCGAGGCGGGTGGATCACAAGGTCAAGAGATGGAGACCATCCTGGTCAACATGGTGAAACCCCGTCTCTACTAAAAATACAAAAATTAGCTGTATTAATTTTTATGCAGTCAAATCTGTCAATCTTTTCCTTTATAGTTTTCCATTTTTCCCAGTCAAATATTAGAAAAGTATGAATATATTTCTTTTTATTTTCTTTTTGGTTGGTTGTTTCCTTGAGATGAAGTCTTGTTCTGAGACTGGAATGCAGTGGCATGATCTCAGCTCACTGCAGCCCACACCTCTCAGATTCAAGTGATTCTCCTGCCTCAGCCTCCCAAGTAGCTGGGATTACAGGTGCCCACCACCACGCCCAGCTAATTTTTTTTTTTTTTGAGACAGAGTCTCACTGTTGTTACCCAGACTGGAGTGCAATGGCACAATCTTGGCTCACCGCAACCTCTGCCTCCTAGGTTCAAGCAATTCTCCTGCCTCAGCCTCCCGAGTAGCTGGGACTACAGGTGCACATCACCATGCCCAGCTAATTTTTGTATTTTTAGTAGAGGTGGGGTTTCACCTTGTTGACCAGGATGGTCTCGATCTCTTGACCTCGTGATCCACCCGCCTCGGCCTCCCAAAGTGCTGGGATTAAAGGCGTGAGCCACCACGCCTGGCCTTGACTGTTTTTTAGCTACCTTCTTGATTCCAGAACTTTTGTAGCCCTCCTCTGTATCCATTTCTGACTTGGAGGGGGATTTGTTTTCTTTCAGTTGCAGAGCTATTTTGCTGCATGTGAGGATGAGACCCCTGCCATCCGGAACCATGACAAGGTCCTGCAACGTCTGTGTGAGCACCTGGACCACGCCCTGCTGTATGGGTAAGGTGGAGGAAGTTTCCAAAGACCCGGGAGCACAACCCAGGCCATGAGTAGCCTCCAGAGAGAAACCCTTAGTTTATCTGCCTTTTCTTTCTTCTCTCCCCTTGGCAGAAAGGGATTTGTCCCACTCAAGTGGGCCATAGTCTCTCTGTAGTTACCCCAGTAAATCACCTCTGGGAAGACATAAATGGGGGGGGGGGGATTCACCACAAATGACATGATGGTGCGAAGGTGTGCTGGGTGCCTGGGGACCTGCTGAGGATCCATCACTCCCTGCCTTGCGCTCACTGCTGGACCAGCCAACTGCAGCTTCCCAGGCAGCCCCATGCAGGTCATAGCAGCTCCTGTTGTGTTTTCTCAGACTGCAGGACCTCTCCTCTGGCTACTGGGTGCTCGTGGTGCATTTCACTCGAAGAGAGGCTATCAGGCAGATCGAGGTGCTGCAGCATGTGGCCACCAACCTGGGGCGCAGTGAGTAGTCACAGGGAGATGCTGGGGAAGGGACCAGCTCCACCCTCTCTATGGGTAGCTTGGGGCTCTGTCCTAGGTTTAGCCTCAGGGTCAGCCCTGGGAGGCTAGTTACCTGGTGGTGTCCAGTAGCAGTGGGGTTTTAAAATGACAGCATCAGGCCAGGCATAGTGGTTCACACCTGTAATCTAAGAATTTTGGGAGGCTAAAAAGGGAGGATGGCTTGAGGCCAGGAGTTTAGACCAGCCTGGGCAACACAGTAAGTCCCTATCTCTACAAAATTTAAAAATCAGCTGGATGTGTTGGTTCATGCCTATAGTCCCAGCTACTCAGGGGGCTGAAGTGGGAAGATTGCTTGAGCCCAGGAGTTTGAGGCTGCAGTGAGGTATGATCACAGCATTGCACTCCAGCCTGGAAGAAAAAGTGAGACCCATCTTTAAAGATTTAAGCATATGGCCAGGTACAGTGGCTCATGCCTGTAATCCCAACACTTTGGGAGGGTAAGGCAGGAGGATCCCTTGAGCCCAGGAATTTAAGGCTGTAGTGAGCTAATGATCATACCACTATACTCCGGCCTGTGTGACAGAGTCCCTGTCTCAAAAAATAAAACAAAACAATAATAATAAATAAAAATAACAAATTTATAAAATGCCAGCCCCCTCCATGAGGCATCTTTTCTCCCTGCATATGACAGTGTTTTGGCACAGCAGTGATAGGGGGAAGGACAGCAAGCTGCCAGCAAGAGCTGGACTCCTAAGGAATCCCAGCCTGAGCACGTGCTGTGGAGTCTGGTTTCTCTCCCTGAGCTGGGATCACTGTTAGCATACAGGATCAGCACAGAGTCCTGGCATTTCTTGAGCTATCTGAAGTATGTCATCTGCCCTCTTTATGAGAATTTCCTGGCCAGCTACAGGCTGAAGTCTGACTAGGAAAATAAAGCCGTCAGGGGTCATGGTACCCCAACAAGCGCGAAGGCCGTTGAAGTGCCTGGTCCCCTGACCTGCTCTTTCTTTCCCTTCTGCCCTTGCTTGGCAAACAAAAGCCAGCACTCTGACAGGCCTTCCTGCCAGTTACTCCTGCCTTTGTCTGCAGGCCGTGCCTGGCTGTATCTGGCCCTCAACGAGAACTCCTTGGAGAGCTACCTGCGCTTGTTCCAGGAGAACCTGGGTCTGCTGCATAAGTACTACGTCAAGTGGGTGTCTGGGACGGTCTGTCTCCCCTAGCCTCAGAGCTCCCCTTCAGCCACCTCCCAAAGGCTTGTCATATGCAGACAACACAGTGTGCCACATCAGTGATGCCAGAGAGCTAATAGAGCCTTGCTGGTAGCTGGATGGCCTTCACCGCGAGCACTGGGGTTCCATCTGGGTTACTGGGTACAATTTGGGGCTCTGCTCCTCCCTGGTCCTCCCAGGCTTCAGACCTGACCAATGCCCAAGCTTTGGCTCAGCTTTTGCTGGGGTTGCTGCTGTCCCAGTGTGTACAGCAGCCACTGAGAGCCTTGCAAGCCTTGCCCTTGCCCATCTCTGAAGTCACCGCAGGACAGTGCAATGTGGCTGCTAACCCAGTGGGAGAAGGCTGAGAGGGTGGTGGGTGATGGTCATATCTAGCTGGGTGCCATCCAAGGTAGGGGACATCACATGTCAAATTTCAACACAGCTGGCATGTTGGTGAGGTTAGGCCAGGCTGGTCAACAGGCCCAGAGGCACCATTGTGGCTTCTTGTGTCTCGCAGGAATGCCCTGGTCTGCAGCCACGATCACCTGACCCTCTTCCTGACGTTGGTGTCTGGACTGGAGTTCATTCGTTTCGAGCTGGATCTGGTGAGACACCAGGGCGCTCGCTGCTTGTGGGAAGCAGAGGAGGGGCCGGGTGGGAGCAGGTTGGGTAGTTGTTTCATTTTTCAGGTCTTGTTGGGTATGACTGGGCTTGAGCAAAGGTTGTTTGTTCAGATGAGGGAAAGGTTTCAGGGTCGGTGGAACTGAGTAAGAGGAGAAGTGATTCTCTCTTCTCCTGATGGCAAGAATTCTCCTGATGGTTACTGATGGCAAGAATTCCTGGTTCAGGTGACTTCCTCCTATCTTCCTATCCAACTTGGAGAAAAGCCACATTGCCTCATTGCCTGGAGTATCTTAGCCCAGAAGAACGGCCTTCATGTTTAGGACATGAGAGTTAGAAGGACAAGGCAAATTCAGCCTGGTGCCTCTGGGACTCTGAAAAGTCCTCAGCTCCATGCCTCCCAGCTGACATGTCTTCAGCCACCCTCTTCAAGTTCTCAGGCTTCTTTCCTCATTACACCCTGTACAAACGTGATGCTGGCTCACAGGAGCCAAAGGGGCTCCCAGGCACCTCTTGGACTGGGCTCAAAATGGACACAGCCACCTCATTCTAATCAAATGAGCTTCCCTGGGCTGGGCGCTGTAGCTCATGCCTATAATCCCAGCACTTTGGGAGGCCAAGGCAGGTGGATCACCTGAGGTCAGGAGTTTGAGTCCAGCCTGGCCAACATGGAGAACCCCCGTCTCTACTAAAAACAAAAATTAGTGGGGTGTGTCGGCAGGTGCCTGTAATCCCAGCTACTCAGGAGGCTGAGGCAGAAGAAGAATTACTTGAACCCAGGAGGTGGAGGTTGCAGCGAGCGGAGATCATGCCATTGCACTCCAGCCGGGGCAACAGAGTGAGATTCTGTCTCAAAGAGAGAGAGAGAGAGCAGGGGCACCAAATGTTTCTGTCAGCCTGAAGTCCACACCTTTAAAAGCCAGCACTATTCACATTGCTCTTCTTAGCAGCTTATCTTTGAATTTACTACTTTAAGCCATTGATTTCCCAAAGAAAACCCAGCCTAGAGGGTGTCACAGAGGCGCATCTGTGTCTCCGAGGCTTGGATCCTGCCGTCCGTGGAAGGCTGCTACCCGAGGCCTCCCACCAAACAGGCCTCCTCTACTCTCTCCTCAGGATGCCCCTTACCTAGACCTGGCCCCCTACATGCCCGACTACTACAAACCTCAGTACCTGCTGGACTTTGAAGACCGCCTTCCCAGCTCGGTCCACGGCTCAGACAGTCTGTCCCTCAACTCCTTCAACTCCGTCACCTCCACCAACCTGGAGTGGGATGACAGTGCAATTGCCCCATCTAGCGAGGGTGAGTGGCTCCGGGGCAGAAAGGCCCAGCCCCTGCTGTGAAACAGACTTGAGCCACTTAAGCCTGGCTGGGTGTCTTTCTTGGCTAGTTTTTGGTCTGGTGGCAGAAATTGGCAATTCAACAGGGCTGGCCACTTCCCAGATCTTCATCTCCTCAGAGTCCCTGTGGTGGCTAAAAAGCGGATTCTGGGCACAAAAGGCCGAAATGAGGTGTGTGGTTTTTTTTTAGGGTTAGACCCTTTTCCAGCAGGTTCTAGTTACATGCCTGGGGCAGTTTTCTAAGCCAGGAAGGTTTAGCAGTTGGACCTGGAAACACTTGTCGCAGGGTTGAGTGTTGCCTGCTCTGCGGAGCTTGTCTGGCCCCATATTCTAGGCAGAAAGAGGTTAAGGTTAAGGAACCCCTTGAAGAAGAGTGAGCCAGGTGGGTCCGAGGCTCAGGGAAACCTTGCCGCTGCTGCGTTGCCATGTGCCCGTCTGATTTCTCCAAGTCCCTCCTGCGCTCTCTGGTGTGTTTCGGATGGTCGCACCCATTGCATCAGAGACCGAGGAAGAAGCTGCAGATCATTTTGTTGTCTTGCCCCAAGGACTTACTGGAACAGCCTGGTTTCTTTCAAACCTTAGGCCTTGGTGTTCATAGATAAAACTGTCCATTTTCCCTGCTTTATCCCCTGTGGGAGACCAGAGCCCCTCATTTACTTCACCCACCACCTCACCTCCAGGGAAGGGGATCCCAGCCCCCAGTGCAGCCCTGGGGCACTCTAGAATTGCCTCGGCATTGAGACCTTGGCCTTCCCCTTTCTTTATTTCTGCTGTACCAGGGGTTATATGTCCCAGGGAGGGAGGTCCCTTTCAGAATTGGTGTTAGCAAGACCTGCCGCAACATCGTTGACTGTGCAAGCAGAAGACAGCAGCTCAGTCTCCTTCGGTTGGGCCCATGGGCTGCCTAGAAGTTGGAGGGATGGGCCTCGCTGGAACAGCCAGGGCAAGGATGGCTCCATGGATGGAGGCATCCCCTCAGCAATTTGGAGATTGTACAGCTGCAGCTGCCAGGGCAGCATCTCCTTGCCTGCTAGGGTATGGAGGGAAGGGAGGCAAGGGGTAGAAAACAAAGCTAGGCACAGGCAGCCAGGCTGCTCTCTGCCAGAACCAGCTTCTGGGTGTGGAAAGGGGTCACCCCCTACAGGTCTTTCCAGCTGGTTGGAGGCTCCTGGGCCACTGCCTGAGCTGAGAGGCAGCCAGGGCCCTAGTAAGTTTCCCCAAGGTTGTTGGATACAATGGAGAAAGTCGAAGTTTTCCTCTCCTGTTTCCTCCCCATGTCTCCCACCCCACCTCCCTCCCCCTCCCTCCAGTCGTCCTTCCACTGCCTGTGTTTCTAATCTTCAGTTTTGTCCCTCGTTTTTGTAGATTATGATTTTGGAGATGTGTTTCCAGCAGTGCCGTCTGTACCCAGCACAGACTGGGAAGGTGGGCCAGAGTCCGCTGTTACCCTCTTTTCCTGTTTTGCAATGTTTCCATGCCAAGCTTGCTGCATGTATCAAATCAGCTCCTTATTATTTATAATAATGTCCATGATCATAATAAAGCCAAGTTTGGTGTTCTAATAGATGGAATTCTGCAGTGGGAAAACTTGACCTCCAGCCCTAGGCAAATCCCTTCTCCCCGTGCAGGGCTCCTGCCTTTGTGCAGTGGCCTTTCGGAGTCACTAAGTGGCTGTGTTTCAGGGGATATGGGATCACCCTTTCTGATTCCAATGCCAGTTGATGCTCTCGGGGTGTATAGGGCCTGACCCAGTGAACCAAGACTTGTTCTGGAAAACCATGCCTTTAAACATGTGGGTGGTAAGCTCCTTTGGGTCAGATGGGCATCAAGGAGAAAGACAGCTTGATTCTTTCAGTCTGTCCTAATGGCTTCCTCTTGGGTGTTTTGGAGAGATTGAGGTCCAAGTGAGGGAACTGCCCAGGTACAGCTGAAACTTCCTACAGAGAGAATCTTCTTGAAGTTTTAAAGCAGATTAAAGGAAATCTGCCAGCCCTCCCACCCTGTCTCCCAGGCAGTAGCAGTGCCTGGGCATTTTTCTGCCTGAAATTCCACTTCTGGGCTTGCATATATTCCCAGCTTGCCACAATTACTCAAAGCAAAGGTTGTGTTGCCAATAAGGTGAATGTTTCCCCCTTAAATCTGAGGCTATAGTACATCCTTGTTATTTATTTTATTTTACTTTTTGAGACGGAGTCTCACTCTATTGCCAGGCAGGAGTGCAATGGCACAATCTTGGCTCACTGCAACCTCCACCTCCCAGGTTCAAGCGATTCCCCTGCCTCAGCCTTCCAAATGGCTGGAGCTGTAGGCAAATGCCACCACACTCAGCTAATTTTTTGTATTTTTAATACAGACTGGGTTTCACCATGTTGGCCAGGATGGTCTTGATCTCCTGACCTCGTGATCCACCTGCCTCAGCCTCCCAAAATGCTGGGATTACAAGCATGAGCCACTGTAAACACGCCCAGCCTGTTATATTTTATTTTATTTTTTGAGACAGAGTCTCGCTCTGTTGCTCAGGCTGGAGTATAGTGGCCTGATCTCAGTTTACTGCAACCTCCACCTCCCGAGTTCAAGCAATTCTCTTGCCTCAGCCTCCCAAGTAACTGGGATTACAGGTGTGTGCCACCACGCCTGGCTGATTTTTGTATTTTTAGTAGAAACAGGATCTTGACGTGTTGGCCAGGTTGGTCTCCTACTCCTGACCTCAGGTGATCCATCTTCCTCAGCCTCCCAAAGTGCTGGGATCACAGGTGTGAGCCACCGCGCCTGGTCCAAATCCCTGTTATTCAAAAGCCTCTTACCCTCTGGGCCACTTCCAGCCTGGAGCAGGGCAGGTGAGGGGACCTGGACTCTGAACAGGGGAGATAAGAACTGCCTCACCCTGAGGATGAGCAGCAGGTCGCTCTCCCGCATTATTAGAGACGTGATTCTGAGTAATGGGTGACAGGTGATCTCCTCCCAAATAATGTGAGCATGAAATAGCTTAACTCTCTGGGAAATAAGATATGGCATTGGGAAAAATAAACATTTGGCCAAGAGTGGCGTGGAAGGGTCCCACATTTGAGTTAAATCAGTTTGGATTCCAGAATTCCATCATAACATCATGTACCCTCTCAGCCTCTCTTCTTGCAGCACACGTGCTGGATATTGTTTTTTTCCCTCTGATTCTAACAACTAACCCCCCTCCTGACATGCCTGTTGCAGTCACTTGACAAGCAGGGCCTGACCTTCCTCTGTAGCCTTTCAGGGCTCCCTGCGGCCTGAGAACTAACAGCCCAGTTGCATTACTTGCCCGAGGGCAGGGTGAGATTTCCTGAGTTCCTGGAGCAGGATTCTGGAGCTCACTCTGGCAGCTCACCCTGGGAGGCTCTGTCTTCTTCTTGGACCTGGAGGAAGGCAGGACTTGGGGCAGTTCCAAACTTGGAGCCTGCGGTTGAGATCTGGGCAGCCTTCCCCTGGTCTTTGGCTTATTTACAGAACTGGTGGGCATCCGGGCCTTGACACCCACCACATCTCATGATCTGCCCACTCATATCTCGGGACTCCTCTTGGGTGCAACTGCATGTGCTGAGGAGAATCACAGGGCCGGAGCAAGGACACATGGGCTTGGCAGGAGCCTGCTCTGGGACTGAGGGACTTAGTTTTCTGCATAGTAGAACTCGGGCTCTGGGATCCCAGGAAATCTAGAAAAAGTCCCCGATGTCGCTGGTGTTTTCTGGCAGAGCTGCTCATTGCCTTTAGCCTCCTCTTTTGTCCTTATATTTAAAGACAGCAGTTTTGTTTTTTTTTTAAGGGCCAGGCATGTTAGCTCACATCTAAAATCCCAGCACTTTGGGAAGCAGAGCCTGGAGGATCGCCTGAGCCCAGGAGTTTGAGACCAGCCTGGGCAACACAGAGAAACCCCATCTCTACTAAAGGTACAAAAATTAGCCGGGTGTGGTGGTGCACGCCTATAGTCCCAGCTACTCTGGTCTTGTATTTTGTTTGTTTGGTTGTTTGTTTTGAGACAGAGTCTCACTCTGTGGCCCAGGCTGGAGTGCAGTGAATCGATCTCAGCTCACTGCAACCTCTGCCTCCCGGGTTCAAGCAATTCTCCTGCCTCAGCCTCCTGAGTAGCTGGGATTATAGGGCCCACCACCACACCCAGCTAATTTTTGTATTTTTGGTAGAGACAGGGTTTCACCATGTTAGTCAGGCTGGTCTTGAACTCCTGACCTCGTGATCCACCTGCCTCGTTCTCCCAAAGTGCTGGGATTGCAGGCATGAGCCACTGTACCCAGTATTCCAGCTGCTCTGTAGGCTGAGGCAGGGCAGGAGGATCGTATGAACCCAGGAGGTTGAGGCTGCAGTGGGCTATGATTGTACCACTGTACTCCAGTCTGGGTGACAGAGCGAGACCCTGTCTCAAAAAAACAAAAAAGACGGTGTGCTGCATCAGCAGACAGCTGCCCTGTGGTTTCTAAGACGCACTAAGTTGACAGCTGGTTGGGCCCCCATTTGGGCTCTGTTTGCCTCTTTTCTTCCGGGTAGACAATGGCCAGCAAGATGGGCATTGGCCAGCAAATGGAGCATGACCAGACGTGTCCCTTGCAGTTGACCCTCACCCAGGCGGTTTCACCAGCTGGGCCTCAGTTCTCTGCTTGGGTGGCTCCCATCTGCCACTGGCTAAATGGCCAGTGTACTTCTCCTGCCCGGGCTCCCTCTCCTGCCCTGTTCCAGTAACCTGGGGCAGACAGCTGGGTGGGGTGGGGTGGCTAAGCCAGCTTCCCTCCTGGGGAGGCGTGTCAGGGTGTGACTCAGAGAGGAGCAGTGAGCTGATGCTTGAATGAAATGGATTCTCAGCACCACCCTTTCAGGGGCACCTGGTCCTGCCCCCCAGGAGTATGTAGGGTTGGGGGCGAGGGAGAAGCAGCCTGGGGGGCAGCCTCTCGGACACCTGTCCTTGCCCCTTCACACCTCATTCTCATTGCCCTGCTCTGTCATCTCTTCTCTACCCTGTGCTCTGGGTGTTTCCCTCTGCCCCATGGTTTCCACCCCTTGGGCTCCCATCCTGTCTTCCCAGCCTCTGCCCTTCTCTGCACCCCTCACTTTCTCTGCTGTCTTCCTCCATTCTTCTCACTTTGTGTTCCTTTCACCTCTGCAAGGGACCCTTCAGAAGACTTTGGGCACCTCTCAGCTCTATGAGTGGGATATGGGCTAAGGGGATGCTGGGTACCCCCGCAGCATCCTGGCAGGAAGGCTCTGAGGGTAACCTAAGAGGTGTGCAGCCTGGCTCCTCTCTGGGGCTCCTAGCCACCCATGGAGGCCTCAAGGTCACCATCCCTATGGGGCTTAAGCCTGGAGCTTGCGCCTGGAGGCTGCTTCATCTTGGGGCCCTTAACACACACTCAGCCAAATTGTTGTGAGCTCTGGAGGGCCCCAAGGGTGGTAGAGTTGGTGGTCCCTCCAAGTTGCTTCTAAAGTACAAACCCCATGTCCTGTTAGGTTGGAGCTTCTACTTGAAATACTGCCACCTGGGTCATGTTTCCCTGGGAGGAATTGACCTGCCTCCCTCCAGGGCTAAGGCATGCTCCGGGGGGGTCGGGGGCCCCAGGGGGTACCTGACGGGGTATCTTCTGCTTCCTTGTCCTCCCAGATGGAGATCTCACAGACACCGTCAGCGGCCCCCGCTCCACAGCCTCCGACCTGACCAGCAGCAAGGCCTCCACCAGGAGCCCCACCCAGCGCCAGAACCCCTTCAACGAGGAGCCAGCAGAGACCGTGTCCTCCTCTGACACCACCCCCGTGCATACCACCTCTCAGGAGAGGGAGGAGGCCCAGGCCCTGGACCCACCGGATGCCTGCACAGAGCTCGAGGTCATTAGGTCAGTGGGGAGGGGCCCAGAGAGGAGCTGGGGTCCTGGGGTCCAACCTGTCCACTCCCAGCATCAGCTGTTCATCTAGGGCAGACCAGGACACCCCCTGAGGGCAGTTGCACACTTTCCTGGGAACCCCTCCCACCTCTGGGCAGTTCTTTGAGCAAGGGTAAATGGAGGCCTGTCCTAGTCAGCTCAGCTGCTGGAACAAAGTACCGCAGACAGGCGGCTTCGACCACAGACATTCTTCCTCGAAGCTCTGGAGCCTGCAGTCTCAGGTCAGGGTCCCGGTGTGGCCAGGCTCTGATAAGGGATTCACAGATGGCCCTCTTTTCGCTGTGTCATGGTGGGGAGCAGAGAGCGAGCTCTCTAGGGTCCCATTTATGAGAGCGCTGATCCCATTCCTGAGGATTTCACCCTCAGGTTCTCATCACCTCCCAGTGGCCCCACCTCCTGACACCATCACATCAGGAGTTAGGATTTCAGCATAGGAACTTGGAGGGGACACACACATTCAGTCCATTGTAAGGCCCAAGCCCTTGGAAGCAGGCAGCACCGGCAGCCACCGCGGCTGGCTTCTGGGGCCATATCCAGGCTGCCAGGGCATTTGTTGGGTCTGCCTAAGATCAGAAAGCCCCTTCAGGTTGAACTCCTTCCCAAGGGAAGTGTATCTTGGAAGTGAAGATACAATTTCTGAGACTCATTGAAAGAAAAGTATCTTTGTCATATGGGTGGGACACAGAAGGGAAGGATGTGGTGAGTGGCCAGGGCGACAGTTGACCAGAGCCTTCCCAGCTCCCTGACCTCCCTGACCCCCTCTTGAAACTTCACACTGAATAAGAGAACCCCGTGTGCATGTCAGACTGCCCCACGCTTGCTGGCCTGAGGCAGGGGGACTACTCCCCAGTAACTGGAGCCAGGAAGCCACCCCACGGGCTGGTTCCAGTCCAGAGCAGCATTGATGGCTCAGACTTGGGGTCCATTAGCCAAGCCTGCTCCAGCCAACCTGGAACCAGAGTGGGACCTGGACCTTGAGCCAAGAAAGCACTGAGTACATTTCTGGGTGATTTATTCATGATAATGCTGAAAGTGAAGTGAGGTCAGCTGAGGACCCATCGTCCACATCCTAAGGGGGGCTGAGTGGAGGGGCATTGCCTGACCAGCCCTGGCCTGTTTTTCTTTCCTAGAGTGCAGCTAGCTCAGTTGTTCCATCAGGAGGAATTTGGAAGACCTGCTCGGGTTCCTCTGGTTGTGGCCATTTGTGCCCAGCCCATGCTCCCCCACCCCGCCTCTGCCAGCAAAGGGGGTACCTTGGGGCCTGAGCCACTACTGTCCCCTGACCCAGTGCCTCCACCCAGCACTGCCTAGGACCACTGATGCACTAGCTGTGCCCTCAGAGGTCACATACCCAGCATTACTGCCATGACCCAGCCTGGTTTTCCCCAGCACTGGGTTACTGAAGGGTTAACACTGTCCCATCATTACTGTCCCAGGGTCACCAAGAAGAAGAAAATTGGCAAGAAGAAGAAGAGCAGATCAGATGAGGAGGCGAGTCCACTCCACCCTGCCTGCAGCCAGAAGAAATGTGCCAAGCAGGGGGACAGTGATAGCCACTTCGGCAGCCCAGGCCTTGGGCGGAACTCACCAGACACAATGCTTGCCTCCCCTCAAGAGGAGGGAGAGGGGCCCAGCAGCACCGCGGAGAGCAGCGAGCGCTCGGAGCCGGGCCTGCTGATCCCCGAAATGAAGGACACCTCCATGGAGCGCCTGGGGCAGCCCCTGAGCAAGGTTATCGACCAACTCAATGGGCAGCTGGACCCCAGCACCTGGTGCTCCCGTGTTGAGCCTCCAGACCAGTCCTTTCGGACCGGCTCTCCCGGGGATGCCCCGGAGAGGCCGCCACTTTGTGACTTTAGTGAGGGGCTTTCAGCCCCAATGGACTTCTACCGCTTTACCGTCGAGAGTCCAAGCACTGTTACATCAGGTGGCAGCCACCATGACCCTGCAGGGCTTGGCCAACCGCTGCATGTTCCTAGTAGCCCTGAGGTTGCTGGCCAAGAAGAAGAGGGAGGAGGAGGAGAGGGACAGGCGCCTCGGCCCCTAGAGGACACCACAGGGGAGGCTCAGGAGCTGGAGGCCCAGCTATCCCTGGTCAGGGAAGGGCCTGTGTCTGAGCCAGAGCCTGGGACCCAGGAGGCTCTCTGCCAGCTCAAGCGAGAGCAGCCCAGCCCGTGTCTGAGCAGCGCTGAGGACTCTGGGGTGGATGAGGGACAGGGGAGCCCCTCAGAGATGCTTCACTCCTCAGAGTTCAGGTAACAAGACCGTGTGGCTGGTTCAGGACTCTCCCAGCCCTTGAAGCTGGAGATACTGTGCCTCTGACCTCCAGATAAATTAAGCTCTAGGAAGACCTAGCCTGAGTGGAAGGGGGGTGAGCCTCCCTCCCTAACTTAGGCTCTCCTGGGGAGAGGTGGAGGCACTACCCCCGGCTCTGGGGTGGGGTGTGGCCCCTCCCTGTGCCCCTCCCACCCCTGCCTGCCTGACACCTCACCCTCCCGACTTGGCCCTCACAGAGTAGACAACAATCACCTGCTCCTGCTAATGATCCACGTGTTCAGAGAAAACGAAGAGCAGCTATTCAAAGTAAGTCCTAGGAACTCAGGAGCGAGCAAGAGATAGCAATGGGGAGGCGGGATGGCCCACCGCCCCTGCTGGAGCAGCAGAAGCCGCCTGCCTGACTTCTGTCTACTTCGGCCCCCAGATGATCCGGATGAGCACCGGGCACATGGAGGGCAACCTGCAGCTGCTTTATGTGCTGCTCACGGACTGCTATGTCTACCTGCTCCGGAAAGGTGCCCGCCACCCCCCGGCAGACAGTGGGTTGTGGACGAGGCTGACTCTCGGCCCCTTTTCCCTAGTCCCCTTGCCCTCTGAGTACCTTCCAGCCGCCTGGCATGTAGTGATGAAAAGGCACCCCAAGCAGGGTGTTGCCAGCAGCCCTGAGACATGAGCCTGGGATCCCCTCTGTCAGCACTCCACGCCATTCTCCTACTGCGTCAGCTCAGACTGCAGGCCAAGGACAAGTCCACTAAGAGAGGGGTGTCTAAGAAAATGGGGCAGGGGGAGGAAAAAGAGGCCTATAGGGATAATAGGCCTTGGGGTCTCCTCTCTCAGGGGCCACAGAGAAGCCATATCTGGTGGAAGAGGCCGTTTCTTACAATGAACTTGACTATGTGTCGGTGAGTCCAGGCTCTGCAGTTGCACACCTGCTGTAGGCACAGGGCTTCTCATCTCACTCACCTCCTGGGGTTGGGCACCAACTTAACTCTCAGAGAAGCTTCTGTACATGATGCTGGGGGTAAGAACCAAGCTTAAGGTCGCCTCTTCCTGTGCTAGACTTCTGACTGTCCCTCCCTCACTCATGCCAGCCCTGGGCTTCTGGGGCTTTACTTGGTGGTGGCCTGGGGTGTGCTTCCTCCCCAGCCAGCACTCAGCGTGGCCACGCTGCCACCTCCACCAGGCAGCAGCCAAGCCCCTTGTGCATGTGAGGATGTGGTTTCTGGCAGGTCGGCCTGGACCAGCAGACGGTGAAGCTAGTGTGCACTAACCGCAGGAAGCAGTTTCTGCTGGACACAGCTGACGCAGCGCTGGCTGAGTGAGTGGCAGCCCCGCCCCTTTGGGAGGACTGGAGGCTCCACAACTGCCCATAGGTGTGGGTGGCCTGGGGCTGGGAGGTCCAGGAGGGGAAACCCAGAAGCATTCCCTCTGGAACCTGCATCTGTTCAGAGAGGCAGGCAAGTAGACAATCACAGGACTCACGTGGTCAGCCCCTGGGGACTCTTGAGAGCACTGGCATGAGTTGTCCAACAGCTTCCTGCCTTCCTTAAAGGCACAGAGCCATGCTGCTGGGCTGGGCATGCCCTTCAACACTCACACCGTTGTCCAGGCTCAAGGTCCCACCTGTTCAAGTCCTGCCTACTCTCACCTTGTCTATCTTCCCTCAATGTCAAAATCCCAGGCCCCTTGGCCACTGAGAACAATCAGGCCTGTACCAGTTGTCATTTGATGACCTTGGACTCCTACCTTGTCATTGCCTCACCTGCCACTCTGGGCACTGGGTCTAGCCAGGCCCCTCCCCCAAGTTTCCGTGACCCCTCCAGGCCAGGAGCGCTGAGGACTAAGCCCTGTTGTGTTGAGGCCCTGGTCTCAGACCTCTAACCACAAGCCCTACTCCCCGTGCAGGTTCTTTTTGGCTTCTTTGAAGTCAGCCATGATCAAAGGCTGTCGAGAACCACCCTACCCCAGCATCCTGACGGATGCCACCATGGAGAAGCTGGCACTAGCCAAATTTGTGGCCCAGGAATCCAAGTGTGAAGTAAGAACCTGGGGAGGAAGGTGGGTGCAACCCCAGAAATAGCAGTGCAGCAGCCAGCCTCGGTGTGAGGCTTAAGGGATGCAAATACATGTCTTCGGCATTTTACAAATGCCTACCTGGCCAGGTGGGGCTTTCCTACCCTGGAAAGGAGGAAGGTCATGTCCTCCTTCCTACTTCAGGTGTGTCCTGAAGCTAAAATACCCTTGCTCTTGGCTACCCCAGGCGCCAGACCTTCTATGAGCCGATTCCAGGCTCAGCCACCTGCCTGGCCCAGGGCTCACTTGCTTTGTCCGCTGCCCCGCCCCCCCGCCACCACCACAGGCATCTGCTGTCACTGTGCACTTCTATGGGCTTGTGCACTGGGAGGACCCCACCGATGAGTCCCTGGGCCCCACCCCCTGCCACTGCTCACCCCCTGAGGGCACCATCACCAAAGAAGGCATGCTGCACTACAAGGCGGGCACCTCCTACCTGGGCAAGGAACACTGGAAGACATGCTTCGTGGTGCTCAGGTAAGCCCTGGCAGCTCCGGGCCTCGGGCTGGGTCCTGGGGTATCTGGGCTGTTAGGTCCCCAGTGGGGATCTCTCTAGCAGGTCACTGAGGAGAGGATGCTTCCCTTCCCTACAAGAGCTCATGAGCTTGGAGGAGACCTATTTTAGGGTGTTAGAGCTTCTCTGTAGAGCCAGTCATCTTTGGGTACCCAGGAATCCCTGAGTGCCTCGGGAGAGGACACAGTATTTGTCTCCCTGATAAACCTTGAGATGTGCTCCAGGTCTGCTGAGGTGGCCACATTCCCTGCTGGGCCGCCAGGTCTTTCTTCACCCTCCCTTCCATAGGTGACAGCCGCTGGCCTCCTTTGCCAGAGGTTCATGGCCACAGCGTGTGCGTGGCAGGGGAACCCTGGGATCTGGGCTCCGTCTGGCCCCAGTTCCCGGGACAGGCCTTACTCACCCTGTGTTGTGCCCCTGCAGCAATGGGATCCTCTACCAGTACCCGGACCGCACTGACGTCATCCCTCTGCTCTCGGTGAACATGGGGTGAGTGTGAGAGATGGGGGCTGTATCCTGGGGCCCAGAGCTGCTGTCTCCCTGGTTCATCATGGCCGCCCCACTTCGCAGTTCAGCCTCGCCATCAGCCCCAGCCTATCCAGCGGCCCTGACAGGTGGCCTGGGGCTTCCACACTCTTAGAGTTGCAAGGAACCCACAGGAGGGGAGGAGGGAGGCAGCAAGGAGCTCCTGGCTGAGAACAGGTCCAGTCTGATGGGGGAGGCAGGCCCTTCCCCAGAAGTTCCCAGCCTGATGGGAGGTCGACTCCCGGGTACTTGGAAGGAATGGTGGGCCCCCAAGAGGAAGCACCCATGAATGAATGCGGCCGATTCTCAGAGGGCTGGAGGGAAAGCTGATTCCCAGCCTCACCTGGCCATGCTTGGGTATCTAGTAGATCTTGGGTATTCTGGAGATGAAAGTTGTTACACAGAAAGGGGTGGGGCTTCCAGACCTCTCCTGGGAGCTGGAAGGGTCTGGAGAACCTTCTGGTATCCTCCAGCCCCCAGGACAGTGGGGCAGACCCTGCGTCACACACCCTGCACCTACCCCAGGGGCTGCCACCCCGTGCTGCCTTTGCCTCCTCGCTCCCGTTTCACCCTCCTCCTCTGGCCCAGGGGGGAGCAGTGCGGTGGCTGCCGGAGAGCCAACACCACGGATCGGCCCCACGCCTTCCAGGTCATTCTCTCCGACCGGCCCTGCCTGGAGCTGAGTGCCGAGAGTGAGGCCGAGATGGCTGATTGGATGCAGCACCTCTGCCAGGCCGTGTCCAAAGGGGTGAGCTCCACCGCTCACCTGGTCTGCCTGACCCATCCAGGACCCCCAAGGCCCCATCCCTAAACCCAGAGTCACAGAGCCACCTCAGGGCCAAGACAGACCTCCAGGGGCAACCCAGGAACGGACCCTGGCGCTTAGAACCACCTGCAGCCTGGAGCACTCCTGCCATCACCCCCACCCCCACCTCTGCTCCCGATCCCTGGAGAGAGAGCAGAAGGGCTGGCTGGGTCCCCTGGAGTGGGGAGTTACCGTGCAGACCAGCCCTGGAGGCCCCAGCCTGCCTCTCCCCCACCCCGCTGCCAGGTCATCCCCCAGGGTGTAGCTCCCAGCCCCTGCATCCCCTGCTGCCTGGTCGTCACGGATGACTGCCTCTTCACGTGCCATGAGGATTGCCAGACCAGCTTCTTTCGCTCTTTGGGCACAGCCAAGCTGGGCGATATCAGCACTGTCTCCACTGAGCCGGGCAAGGAGTACTGTGTCTTGGTAAGCTGGGGTGGGGAACGGGGCACCCGCCCACAGGCCCTGCAGAAGGAAAGCTGTCTGCTCACCTGGGGGCTGGCTCTCCCTAGGAGTTCTCCCAGGACAACCAGCAGCTCCTCCCACCCTGGGTCATCTACCTGAGCTGCACTTCTGAACTGGACCGATTGCTGTCTGCACTGAACTCTGGGTGGAAAACCATCTACCAGGTACCCAGCTGCCCAGGAAACCCATCAGCCAGGGACCCTGTCTCATGGGAGCCACTCCCCAGGGAGAGGAACCCTGGCTGCTCCCAGGACTGGCCTCTAGGGTCCTGGGCACAGCAGTGTACCAGGGCGCTCCTGCCTCCACAGCCCCGGGGATGAGTGCCTGCTGCTCTCAAAACAAACCCAGGAGAATCCAAGCTGTGCTCACCACCTTTTGCTGAGCCACCCCTTCCTAGGCTGTCCAGAGGGTGACAAGCCTGTTGGGCCAGGAGCCCGAGGCCCTCAAGCCACTCAACATTGCTGCCTCAAGGGCCTGGGCAGGAAGGAGTGGGCTCCGGGAAGTAGGTGGGAGACTCCACCCTGGGTGGCTCTGCCTCTGGTTTGGACTGGGCCTTGGGTGATTGAGGGTGGCTAATAAGGAGAGAGCTGTCTGGGGGCAGAGGCCCAGGTGGGCATGGTGGTGCTGGCACCAGCCTGAGCACACACACTGGACAGGCACAAAAACTTAGAATCAAAGGGGCAAAAACCTGACTCCCAGTGAATCTAAAGCCAAAGCTGAAAACAGAACCCAAGAAACTCAATTCCTGACCTCAGTTCCAGTCAAACAGCACAAATTGTGGTGGGCCTACAGCTGTGTTCAGATGATGGGGCACAGGATTGGCAGTATCCTCTTCCTTGTCCTCAAGGCTTAGTGCCAGTGTGGGAGGGTGCTCGTGAGATGCCTGCACAAGTGGGTTTTGAGCACATGCTATGCGCTAGCCCTGTGGAAGCCTGGACTAGCCAGAGGCAGAGAACAGCTCAGGACCGACATCCTCCCTGCAGAGCCGACAGAGGGCAGCACCTGCCTCTCTGGGCCATCCTAAGAGCTGGGGCCTTCCCAGGACAGAGGGGCTGCAGGAGGCACTACCCCATCCTCAGCGCAAGGGCCTGGAAGAGCAGGAGAACCTAGCAGCGTGAAAGCTGTTCCTGGAGAGTGATGGGGAGGGTCTGACAGAGGCAGGCCTGGGGCCCATAAGCCCTGAAGCCCCCTGCGGCCCTCATCTGTTCTCTGCGCGCCCCCAACACAGGTGGACCTCCCCCACGCAGCGATCCAGGAGGCCTCCAACAAGAAGAAATTCGAGGATGCCTTGAGCCTCATCCACAGCGCCTGGCAGCGGAGCGACAGCCTCTGCCGAGGCCGAGCCTCCCGGGACCCCTGGTGCTGAGTCAGAGCTGGTTGGCATCACTGGTGGGCAGGAAAGGAAGGCGCGCCAACCAGCAGGCACACTGTCACGGCTGTCGCCATGCTGTTGAAAGCCTGCAGCCCACCCCTGCCCCCGGTGGCAGCACCACCGAGTGTGGCTTAAGGCAGGGTCTCTCCACTCCAGGGATCCAGAACAGGTCCCCAGCACCCCTGGGCATCCTGCCCGACAGGTGGCAGATGGAGGTCACTGGGGGCACAGGCCTCTGCAGATGCATGCCCTCCTCCGTCTGCAGAATCCGAGGAGTGGCACTGAGAACAGCATGGATCTAAGGAAGAGCAAAAGAAACAGAAGAGCGGGAGCCCCCTCTTCCTCTCCTGGGTCAGGGGCCCAGGCAGAGGCTCAGGGCTGCCTGGGGGCCCTGAGTGCCCAGCCATCCTTGTTCGTGTTTGAACACTCCCCTGGCCACGTGGGGAAGCAGGAACACGGGGTGTCTGCGCATGCTTCCTCCTCCTAGCTCCATCACCGCGCACATAGCTGCCTGCCTCACCAGATGCAGGGGCGGCGGGCCTCCCTGGCTGCCAGGAGGCCCTGCATGCCCATGGCCCTGCCCCGCCTCTCCCCTCAACCCGGCAGTGCCTGTAGCACCCAGGAGCAAAATGGGTGGATGGGGGGCTTGGAGAAGGGCAGAGCTACCAGCCTGGCATCCATGTACACATCTTCTGACTGTCCCCTGCTTGGCTGGAGTCAGGCCCTTCCCTAGAGTTTTGTCAAGAGCCTCCTGGGGAAGGGGTCAGGTGGTTTGGGTTTTGTTTTTTAAAATAAAATCCACGTTATATTGCCAAGCCTTGTCACTGGCCCTTTTTGAGCATGGTAGGGGCCCTGAAGTCCTGGGGGAAGCTAGGGGGGCATAAGAGCCAGAGGCAGTGGGGACAGGGGCTAGCAGTGGATGTGGGTGCCTTTTATTGGGTGCAGCACTGTCTAGGCCCACTCTTGTCATTGCCAGTCCTCCACAGAACCTTCTGGAGTGATGTCAGTACCTCCATTTCACAAATGAGAGAAATTGAAGCTCTGAGAGGAAGTGACTTGCCCAGGTTCGCACATAAGAGCAGAACCTGGGATTCCAATCAGCTCCCAGCGCTCCAGAGCCCTTCTCTACCTCTGCCCCTGCTGAGCCTGGGCCCGTAGATGGTGGGAGCCAGACTGGAAGACTGAGTCCTGGAAAGGGGATGTCAGTCACCAGGGGCACATCAGGGATGGGTGGGGCAGGGTCAGTGTTGCCCATGTACCCCATGCCAGGGACCTCCCAGTCACTTGCCCCCTGCCCAGGGCTCTGCCAAAGCTGGACAGGCTAAGCTAGAGACAAGGCAGTGGTGCCAGCCCTTTGCCCAGGACCAGAGGGAGGCCAGGAGGAGGTGCCTGTGCTGGTTGGAACCTTCTCCCTACCCTTGCTCGCCTTCCAGTCCCAAGTGACCTTTCCCCCAGATCCCAGGGTCCAGGCCCGCCCTTGGCTGGAAAGTGTGGGGACAGAGGCAGCTGGGATTGGTCACAGCCGGTGGAGGCGTGTCAAAGGCTCCAACAGACCCCTGGAGCAGCTGAGCAGAGCAGGTGGACTCCTGAGATAGACCAGGGCCTCCAGGCAGCCACGGGCCTGTCAGACCAGGACCCTTGCCCTCTAGACATGGCCTCGGGCCCCGGCAAATCCCAGCCCCATGGCCCTGTGAAGTTACAGACAGCCTAAACGCCACCACCACAGGTCCTGTGCCATGCCCCTGACCCGGGCACAGAAGGCCACTGGCCCGGAGGCTGGGGAGACGGTGCCCCCAGTAGTGGACCTGGTGCTGGGTGCCTCGGCCTGCTGCCTGGCCTGTGTCTTCACCAACCCCCTGGAGGTGGTGAAGACGCGGCTGCAATTGCAGGGGGAGCTGCAAGCCCAGGGCACCTACCCACGGCCCTACCGGGGCTTCATGGCCTCTGTGGCTGCTGTGGCCCGAGCAGACGGGCTGTGGGGCCTGCAGAAGGGGCTGGCTGCCGGGCTGCTGTACCAAGGCCTCATGAACAGCGTCCGTTTCTACTGCTACAGCCTGGCATGCCAGGCTGGCCTCACGCAGCAGCCAGGAGGCACTGTGGTTGCGGGAGCCGTGGCAGGGGCCCTAGGAGCCTTCGTGGGGAGCCCTGCTTACCTGGTGAGTCCTTGTCTCCATCCTCCACCATCCCGTGACCCATATCCCACAGGGGCCCGGCAGCCTGCAAGGCTAGGCTCAGTGGACCTGGGTGGGGTAGGGCAGTCTGGGCGGGGCTGCTCCCTGGAACATCCTGGCCCAGGCCTGGAATCTGCCTCTTGGCCCAGGAGAGCCCTGATCGATGCTCTCCTGGGGACCCTGCCCCACTGGTCCTAAACCAGGGGAGGGGCAGAGGGTGGCAGATGTGTTGGCTCAAATCCTGGCTGGGTTACGTCTCTTCCTGTGTGGCCTCGTATATGTTAACAATAAAAGCTACCCGGCTGGGCGCAGTGGGGTATACCTGTAATCCCAGCACTTTGGGAGGCTGAGGTGGGAGGATCACAAGGTCAGGAGTTCGAGACTAGCCTGACCAACATAGTGAAACCCTGTCTCTACTAAAAATATAAAAATTAGCAGGTGTGGTGGCACGTGCCTATAATCCCATCTGCTCAGGAGGCTGAGGCAGGAGAATTGCTTGAACCTGGGAAGTGGAGGTTGCAGTGAGCCAGGATCACACTACTGCACTCCAGCCTGGGCAACAGTGAGACTCCATCTCAAAAAACAAAACAAAACAAACAAAAGAATGAAAGCTACCCTTGATGGCCTCCTCCTCTTGTGCACTCTGCAGGGGCACCTCAGGACCACCCCAAAAAAATATTTTTTTGAAAAAAGCTACCCCTGGAAGGGGCACAGTGACTCATGCCAGTATTCCCAGCACTTTGGGAGGCCGAGGTGGGCAGATCACCTGAGGTCAAGAGTTTGAGACCACACTGACCAACAGGGTGAAATCCTGTCTTTACTAAAAAGTATAAAAATTAGCTGGGCATGGTGGTGCATGCCAATAATCCCAGCTACTGAGGAGGTGGAGGCAGGAGAATTGCCTGGGCCCAGGAGGCAGAGGTTGCAGTGAGCCGAGATCGTGGCACTGCACTCCAGCCTGGCCACAGAAGAAAAAGCTCCCCTTGAGAAAGGCTCACCTCCTCGGCTGGTGCTGGACAGTCATCGTCTCACTTAATCCTCAGAACAGCTTTCCCGTGACAGAACCACTCAGAGAAGATTCGGTGACTTGCTCCGAGTCACACCGAGATGCAAAACCCAGGCTGACCCTAGAGCTGCACCTCCACCCTATTCCACAGCACCCCTAAGCTTTAGGCTTGGGACCATGGAGCTCTGAGTTTCAGAGGCACAGAGGTGGGGGAACCCTCAACACACACAGCTCGTCCCAGCTCTCCCAAGCTCCATCCCCAAACCCCATGTCCCCTCTGCTCCCACAGATCAAAACACAGCTGCAAGCCCAGACAGTGGCCGAGATGGCTGTAGGACACCAGCACAATCACCAGGTGAGGCCCTGGTCACTCCCAGAGCTCCCTGGGGACATGGACTGGGCATGCTACCAGCCTGGGCAGGGGCTGGCCAGTGACCCTGATCCCTCTCCCCACAGACCCTCCTGGGTGCCTTGGAGACCATCTGGCGGCAGCAGGGCCTGGTCGGGCTGTGGCAGGGCGTGGGTGGGGCTGTGCCCCGAGTCATGGTGGGCTCAGCTGCCCAGCTGGCCACCTTCACCTCTGCCAAGGCCTGGGTGCAGGAGCAACAGGTGAGGAGCGGGGGGCACCTGTGCCCACCCACACAGACACACGGGATTGAGGGGCCACCTGCCTCCTTCCACATGGAGAAGACTGGGGGTGGCAACAGATGGGGCCCCGCCTCTGCCCTCAGAGTGGTGACTCCAGACCTTGGTACCAGCAAGAGTAGGAGGTCAGCAGTGAACCCCAAAGCTGAGAAGGAGCTCAGGGTGGCAGGGCTGGGGGATGCCTAGAGGGGCCTCATCTGCTCCCCTTTCCACAGCCCTTCTAGCCCCTGGGTAGTAGGAGGCTGGGAGGGCACCACGTGGGTGGGTAGAGGGCATTTGCAGGGGTCAGCACCTGTGCCATCCCCACAGTGGCTCCCGGCGGACAGCTGGCTGGTGGCCCTGGCTGGGGGCATGATCAGCAGCATAGCCGTGGTTGTCGTCATGACCCCCTTTGATGTGGCCAGCACGCGGCTATACAATCAGCCAGTGGACAGAGCTGGCAGGGTGAGCAGGGATGGGTCTAGGGGAGGATGTGGGGAGCTGGGAACACCCCCCAACACACACACACACACACAGAGCCAGAGACACACAGACACGGGCCATGTATGCAAACACTAACTGGGCTTGTTTGCTGAGCCCCCATGTCCCAGGCACAGGCTAAGCACTTTCACAACCAGATTTTATTCTATCCTTATAATCACATTCATCTTCCTGATGAGGAAACCGGTTGAGACAGATGAAGTGACTTGCATGAGGTCCCCCAGCTGGTAAGTGGAAGAGCCAGTACTAGAATTCAGGCCTGATCCCACAGCCTTCCCAGCAGCCTCACAGATGTGTCCAATCAAAGGTGCTGTCCACAGGGTGTGCAGGGGTGAAATTGACCCTTGTGCCAAGATGTGGTGTGAGCCAGGGCCCCACGGTCCCTGTAGTGACACCCCCCCCATGTCTGTCCCCAGGGCCAGCTGTATGGGGGCCTCACCAACTGCATGGTGAAGATCTGGCGGCAGGAGGGCCCCCTGGCACTCTACAAAGGCCTGGGCCCCGCCTACCTGCGCCTGGGCCCCCACACCATCCTCAGCATGCTCTTCTGGGACGAGCTTCGGAAACTGGCTGGGCGGGCCCAGCACCAGGGCACCTAGGCGTCGGCCCTCATCCCCACGTCCTGACATGGCCTGGCACTTGGCCAGAAGTGAGGGCCTGCTCTTGCACAACCAGCTGTCCCAGGAGGGACCACAGGCCCAGGCCCTGCCACAGACCCCAGGAGAGTGTGGACAGCTCTGGCACCCAGCTCCATGGCCCACCCAGGGCCAGAACATCCACTTCAAGTTACCACTCATTCTGTCTTCCAGACAGTTCTCTTCCTTCTCTGCACTGGGTCTCCAAATCCCAGAGCCTTAGTCATAACAACTGCTGCAGGCATGCACACAGCATGGGCCCAGTGACTTACATCCATCAGCTCACTTAGGCCTCAGACAGCAGCTCGAGGCAGACACTTTGCCCTCGTTTACCATCAGAGGCTGAGAGCAGTGGTGTGGCTTTGACTGCAGCCACACAGCTTTGAAGTGCAGAGCCAGGACTGGAACTTAGCCCTGCTTACCCCAGACCTATGCACTTGACAAGTGTGTGACTGTGCCAGGCCCATGGGCCGGGACTGCCCTTAGTAGGGACCACTGTGTATGGCGAGAGCTGGGGAGCACCGGAGGCTGCGCCGTTGTCACCTGCCTCATTTGCTGGAGCAGCCGTAAGCCGTAGCAAAGAACCACAGACCGGGGGACGTAGACTAGAGCAATGTATTTTCTCACCGTTCTGGAGGCCGCTTGCTCGAGACCAAGGCGTCAGCAGGCTGGTTTCTTCTGAGGCCTCTCCCCATGGCTTGCCGATGCCGCCTTCTCCCTGTGTCTGCACATGGTGGTCCCTTGGTGTGGGTGTGAGTCTGGGTCCTGATCTCCTCCTATTTTTTTTTTTTTTTTTTTTGTTATTGTTACGGAGTCTCTCTGTTACCCAGGCTGGAGTGCAGTGGTGTGACTTCGGCTCACTGCAACCTCCGCCTCCTGGGTTCAAGCGATTCTCCTGCCTCAGCCTCCAGAGTAGCTGAGATTACAGGCGTGCACAACCACACCCAGCTAATTTTTGTATTTTTAGTAGAGACAAGATTTCATCATGTTGGTCAGGTTGGTCTTGAACTCCTGACCTGGTGATCTGCCCACCCTAGCCTCCCAAAGTGCTGGGATTACAAGCATGAGCCACCGCCCCCGGTCCTGATCTTCTCCTCTTATAAGGACACAAATCATGTTGGCTTAGGGCCCATCCTCATGATCACACTTTAACTTCTTTTTTTTCTGAGACAAAGTCTCACTGTGTTACCCAGGCTGTAGTACAGTGGCTCAATCTCGGCTCACTGCAACCTCTGCCTCCCAGGTTCTAGCAATTCTCCTGCCCCAGCTTCCCAAGTAGCTAGAATTACAGTTGTGCACCACCACACCTGGCTAATTTTTTAATTTTTAGCAGAGATGGGGTTTCACCATGTTGGCCAGACTGGTCTCGAACTCCAGACCTCAAGTGATCCACTGGTCTGGCCTCCCATAGTGCTGGGATCACAGGCATGAGCCACCTCATTTGGCCTCATTTTAACTTAATTATCTGTCAAGACCCTATCCCCATATACAGTCGCATCCTGAGCTGCTGGGGGAGGATTTCCACAGGCACATTTGCAGGGGCCGCAGTTCAGCCAGCACCATCTAACAGCTCTCATAGAGGGCCTGCCAGCTGCCTGCACTGTGGCCATTTGCATGTATCCCGACAAACCTGAAAGGAGCTCCGGGTGTCCCCTGTTCAGATGACGGGACTGAGGCCCAGAAAAGGGAAGCGATGTGGCAGGGCCCGCAGCAGGCCCTGGGCCCTTTCTCTAGACTGAGCACCACTCCCCATGGGCGTGCTCTCAACGCCGCACCAGCCTTTACACTGCAGAGATGGACAGCAGCTCCGTGGCAGGGGCAGGATGGCCTAGGCCTAGCAGCCCCACCTGTCCCCCCAGCCACACCCCGTCTGTAAGGGCTACTCCCAGGAACACCTGCTACTGCACGCTCCAAACCAATAAAGTTTTCTACTTTGTTTACTTCAACGACCCCGCGCTGCGGCCAATCTCAGTCTCCCCCATCCCTGACCCCCACCCTCGGCTCCCTCTGCCCTTTCTGTCTGTGAAAGCAGGGTGGGAATGGTGCTCACCTGTTCAGCCCCGCCCTGCCAGACCCAGGTGAGGCCTGCCACCTAGTGGACCTGGGGAGGAACATCAAGCGCAGCCGCGGCCTGTGGGAGGGGAAGGCTCAGGCAGGCTCAGGCTGCGGAGATTCCACACCAGCCAGAGCCAGACCAAAGGCTCTGGAAAGCTGGAACCAGTCCTCACAAAAAGCAGGCAGAGCTGACCTCCGGCTGGGTGGGAGAGAGTCCCAGACCTCAGGCTGAGCGGGAGAGAGAGCCCCAGACCTCGGGTTGAGGGGGAGAGAGAGAGTCCCAGACCTCGGGCTGAGGGGGAGAGAGCCCCAGACCTCAGGCTGAGGTGGGGAGAGAGAGCCCCAGACCTCGGGCCAAGGAGGAGAGAGAGTCCCAGACCTCGGGCTGAGAGGGAGAGAGTCCCAGACCTCGGGCCGAGGGTGAGAGAGAGAGCCCCAGACCTCGGGCGGAGAGGGAGAGAGAGCCAGATCTCAGGCTGAGGGGGCCAAAGCCTGACCTCCTGTAAGGAGGATAGAGCCCCAGACTTCAGGCTGAGACCGCACAGCTGATCTCTGGCTATGGGAGGATAAAGTCCTACCCTCAGACCTTGGGCTGAAGGGCAGAGCCCACACTTCATGCTGCGAGAGGCCAGGACCCACACCTAAGGCTGGGCAGCACAGATAGAGCCTGGGGCTTCCAGGGGGCATTGGGTAGTCCAAAGCCTCAAGGAAGATTTCAAGTAAAGTGGACACCAGACTTTGGCAGGGACAGAGACCAGAGACCAGCCCAGAGATACCTGCCCTTCACCCCACGCTGCCCAAATGGTGAGTCCTAGCAGCAGTTGGCTCCAGACGCCCCCTGTGCCTGGAGCTGGGACCTTGCCCTTCTGGGCCTTGAAGGGTTAACGTCCCTGGCGCTCCTCCCCTCCCTTCCCCTGGCCTTTGACCCCTCCCAGCCTCTTCCCTCCACTGACACCTTTGCCCTGTGAGGTGTTGTCGGTCTGTCCCTGTGCAGACCTGGTTCCCGGGCTGCCATGTTCTCCCTGCCGTCCCTCCCCTCCTGGATCCCCGGCCTCCCCTCCCTCGAGTGGGGCTCCAGCCTCCTCGACTCCCTCCTACAAGGTGAGCCCCTTGTCCCATTTCCGCCTTAGACCTGTCCCCTTCCAGCTCTTCTCGGCACAAGGTGGACCTCACCCACATGGTCTTCTGCCACCCCCACCCTATGGCCGCCCCCACCGCTGACCCTATCAACCAAGCCTGCCCCCCAACACCCCTGCACGCCACCTCACTCCCTCCCTCCTGCCCCCTCAGGCCTGGTCGGGGCCCTTGGAGTCTTGGTCCTGAACAGCCTCCTGAAAGTTTACTTCTTCGTGGGCTGTACCAAGTGAGTGCCCACCTCATCCCCCAGGGAATGTGGCTGGGGACCCCCACTAGGGGTCTAGGGCGGTTCTGCACCCTTGGCCACAGCCATTCTGTCCCCACAGTGAACCGCAGCGGCGGCCCGAAAAGGAGCGGTTGCGGACCCAGTGGGCCTCACTGGAAACGGTGCACCTGGCAGGGCTGGCCTTGTTCCTGACGGTCGTGGGGTCCCGGGTGGCTGCCCTCGTGGTGCTCGAGTTCTCCCTCCGGGCCATGTCCATGCTGCTGTCCCTGGGCAAGGTGAGGCCTCAGGGAAGGCAGTGGGTGGATCACCCCGAAGCCCAGGGCGGGCTCTCACCCCCGGAATGTGGGCAGCAGGGCCCAGCTCCATCATCCCAGCCTCTTCGCTGTATTTGCCGTAAGACTGAGAACAGAGGCTGCAGGATGCACCCTTGGGTTTGGTTGCTGAAGCGGCCACACTCATAGTGGATACAGTCCCAGTCCCAAGATGACAGGAGCAACAGCTCCTGTGGATCAGGCTCCCCCGATGCCAGGCCCTGCACCAAATGCGTTCTGTGTATCATGTCATCCTCACAGCCACAGGGGTGAAGGTTTGCTGGGATTCCCCATTTCACAGATGGGGGAACTAAGGCTCAGAGAGATTACGTGGCTTGTCTGTGGTCAACAGGCAGAGTCAGGCTTTGAACCCAGGGCTCTGAGATTCTGAACCACCACCCTTCAGCTAAGAGATGAGCCCCAAGTACTAAGATGTGACTGAAGACCCAGCAGGGTGGCTCACCCCTGTAATCCCAGCACTTTGGGAGGCTGAGGCAGGTAGATCACGAGGTCATGAGTTCAAGACCAGCCCGGTCAACATGGTGAAACTCCATCTCTACCAAAAACACAAAACAATTAGCTGGTGTGATGGTGTGTGCCTGTAATCCCAGCTACTCAGGAGGCTGAGGCAAGAGAATTGCTGAACCTGAGAGGCAGAGAGGTTGCAGTGAGCCAAGATCAGGCCACTGCACTCCAGACTGGGTGATAGAGCATGAGTCCGTTTCAAAAAAAAAAAATTAGCCGGGCGTGGTGGTGAGCACCTGTAATCCCAGCTACTCAGGAAGCTGGAGCAGGCAAATCTCTTGAACCCAGGAGGCAGAGTTTGCAGTGAGCAGAGATCGTGCCATTGCACTTCAGCCTGGGCGACAGAGCAAGACTCTCTCAAAAAAAAAAAAAAGAGACATGATTGAAATTAAGGTGAGAGAGATGATCCCCTAGAGCTTCATCTGAAGCCGATGTGGCCCCTTTGGGAACCATCCCTAAGGTCAGCCTCCTGTGGCGTGTGGCATCTGTAGTGAAGCGGTCCCCACATCTCCTGCCCCTCTTCTGCCACTCCCCACAGGGCTCCCAGGGCCCTGAGAGGCTGCAGCTCTACCTGCTGTGCCAGTACTCGCTGGGCTGTGGGCTGAGCTGCGGCCTGAGCTTCCTGCAGGAGGGCGCCCCTCACCGCACGCTGAACCTGCTGCTCAGCCTCGGGCTGGCCACGCTGCTGGGCCTGGGCGCCCGGCGCCTCCACCGCCATGTCTGCCGCCTCTACGAGCTGCACAGCAGCCAGCGCTACTGTGGGGTGTGCCTGGGCCTGCTGGCTGGCGCGCACGATCTCCCCCGGCTGCTGGGCCGTGCCCTGGCCGTGGCCTTTGCTGTGGGTGACCTGGCAGCAGTGGCCCTCATCAACCGGGACTTTCTGACTACCTCGGAGGCCGTGCGGTTCTGGACGCCGCTCACCATCTGCTACACGCTGCTGGTCATCTACATGCAGGGTGAGCACGGTGCGGCTCATTGCATCCACACACATCCCTCTGCCTGCACCGGACTCTGGGGAGGCCGCCAGCCAACAGCTCTCACCCTTGCCATCCCAGAGAGCCTGGTCAGGGCAGAGGCTGTGCGGCATGGGCAGTGCAGAGAAGCAGCATGTGGTGGGTGCCCTGAGGTGGAAGCCTCTAGATTGGGGCTCGAAGGATGAGTAGGAGATCCCTAAGAGAATCGAGGCAGGGGCTGGGCACGGTGGTTCACACCTGTAATCCCAGCACTTTGGGAGGTCAAGACAGGTGGATCACCTGAGCTCAGGAGTTCGAAACCAGCCTGTGCAACATGGTGAAACCTCATCTCTACTAAAAAAAAATACCAAAAATTAGTTGGGCGTGGTGGCGTGTGCCTGTAGTCCCAGCTACCTGGGAGGCTGAGGCAAGATAATTGATTGAACCCAGGAGGTGGAGGTTGCAGTGAACTGAGATCACACCACTGCACTCCAGCTGGGCGACAGAGCGAGACTCCGTCTCAAAAAATAAATAAAGAAAGAAGCGAGGCAGGGAAGGGAATCTCGGGCAGAGAGAACCACATGTGCCAACACCAAGGGGGGAGAGAGGGCATGGCAGCATCAAACAAGCCACTGGAGTCCAGTGTGACTGTCACCCCCACGGCATGGCGAAGGGGTGAGCCTGGACAGGTTCGAAGGGGCCTGTTGGAGAGCCCTCATCAGCCTCATCAGTCTGACGTGAGGCCGCTGTACAGGATTTTTTGTGTTTTTGTTTTGTTTTGCTTTTCTGTTTTTTTGAGACAAGGTCTTGCTCAGTGGCCCAGGCTGGAGTGCAGTGGCACAATCACAGCTGACTGCAGCCTTGACCTTCTAGGCTCAAGTGATTCTCCCACCTCAGCCTCCCAAGTAGTGGGGACTATAGACATGTACCATCATGCCAGGCAAATTTTATTTTTTGTAGAGAAGAGGTCAGCTGGGCACTGTGGCTCATGCCTGTAATCCCAGCACTTTGGAAAGCTGAGACAGGCAAATCATTGAGGTCAAGAGTTCAAGACCAGCCTAGCCAACATGGTGAAACCCTGCCTGTACTAAAAATACAAAATTAGCCTGGTGTGGTGGCCTGTGCCTGTAATCCCAGCTACAAAGGACATGAGAATCGCTTGAACCTGGGAGGCGCAGTGGCTCATGCTTGTAATCCCAGCACTTTGGGAGGCCGAGGCAGGCAGATCATCTGAGGTCAGGAGTTTGAGACCAGCCGGCCATTATGGTGAAACCCCATCTCTACTAAAAATAGAAAAATTAGCTGGGCATAATGGTGGGTGCCTGTGATTCCAGCTACTCGGAAAGCTGAGGCAGGGAGAACTGCTTAAACCTGGGAGCCAGAGGTTCCAGTGAGCCAAGATCGAACCACTGCACTCCAGCCTGGGCGACAGAGCAAGACTCTGTCTCTAAATAATTAAATAAAGGGGTCTTGCCATGTTGCCCAGGCTGGTCTTGAACTCTTGGACTCAAGCAATCCACCTACCTCAGCTCCCCAGAGTGCTGGGATCACAGCACGGGCCATTACGCCCTGCCCACTGCAGGGTTTGCTGCTGTTTTGTTTTGAGATGGAGTCTTCCTCTGTCACCCAGCCTGGAGTGCAGTGGCACAATCTCAACTCACTGCAACCTCCACTTCCTGGGTTCAAGCAATTCTCGGCCTCAGCCTCCCAAGTAGCTCGGTGGGAGGCTGAGCTACTTAAGTTTTTTGAGACTCTGTCTCAAAAAACAAACAGGCCGGGCACAGTGGCTCAAGCCTGTAATCCCAGCACTTTGGGAGGCCGAGGTGGGTGGATCACAAGGTCAAGAGATCAAGACCATCCTAGTCAACATGGTGAAACCCCGTCTCTACTAAAAATACAAAAAAAAATTAGCTGGGCATGGTGGCACATGCCTGTAATCTCAGCTACTCAGGAGGCTGAGGCAGAATTGCCTGAACCCAGGAGGCGGAGGTTGCGGTGAGCCGAGATCGCACCATTGCACTCCGGTCTGGGTAACAAAAGAGAAACTCTGTCTCAAAAAAAAAAAAAAAAAAAAAAACGAGGCCAGGCGAGGTGGCTCACGCCTGTAATCCTAGCACTTTCGGAGGCCAAGGGAGGCAGATCACTTGAGGTCAGAAGTTCAAAACCAGATTGGCTAACATGGTGAAACCTCGTCTCTACTACAAATACAAAAAGTTTGCTGGCTGTAATGGAGTGCACCTGTAATCCCAGCTACTCAGGAGGCTGAGGCAGGAGAATTGCTTGAATATGGGAGGCGGAGGTTGCAGTGAACCAAGATCGTGCCACTGTACTCCAGCCTGGGCGACAGAGCGAGACTCCGTCCCCAAAAAAATAGAGCGGAAGCTGGAAGCCCGGCAAGGAGGCTTCTTGAAAAGAAGGCAGTTGGGCCCTGATGTGTCCATGGGGGAGGCAGAAGGAGTTGCCAGGGCTCTAACTAATGGACTAGAGGCAGGTGTGTGGCCAAGAGAGGAATCAGGATAACGCCGGCACCTGCGAGGCTGTGGGGCTCTGGCCTGGCCCAGTGGGAGGCTTGTGGGCTGGGCAGTGAGTCCTGGAGGCAGAGCACGTGGTGCCCTGCAGATGCTCAGAGCAGGGGTGGGGACCAGGAGGATGGGATGGGAGGAGGGCTGCATGGGAGGGGAAGGCTTGCCCGGGGAGGGTGGGTCGGGGAGCCAGGAGGTCCAGCCTCCTGGGTCGGGTGGTGACAGGCACCCTTGTCTCCTAGAGGAGCAGCGGCAGCACCCCGGCCTGCAGAGCCAGGTGCAGACGGTGCTGGTGCGCATGGGCGGTCTCTTCGTGCTGCTGCTGACTGTGGGCCGCTGGCTGGACCTGCTGGGCATCCTCGTCTCCCTGCTGGGCGAGCTCTGGTGTCTGGTGGGTGTCCGCACCCTACTTGACCTCTGCCAGATACAGGTGGGTACCCCCATCCCATGTGTCCCCCAGACACTGAAGCCCCACTTTAAACAGCCCAGGAGCCTCAAGAGGCCCAAGTTTAAGAAGAGTCAGCTAGGCATGGTCACTCGCACCTGTAATCCCAACTACTCGGGAGGCTGAGGCCCAAGGATCACTTGAACCTGGGAGGTGGAGGTTGCAGTGAGCCAAGATTGTGCCACTGCACTTCAGCCTGGGCAGCAGAGTGAGTCTCTGTCTCAAAAAAAAAAGCAGAGCCAGGGTGACCTCTCTTGGGAGTTGGGGGCAGGGGAAGCTGGAATCCCCTCTCCTGCCTTCTGTCACCAGGCCAGGGCTGTCCTCCATGTCACTGGCACCCCTCACCCTGTCCACAGCCCTCTCCAGCTTGCAACCCAGAGGCCCAAGTGGGAGGAAGTACCCAGGTCACTGGAAACCCAAGGCCCCAGGGGGATGGGTGAATGGGCAGTCTCATTTTTGATGCCTTTCCTCAGGACATTCCAACCCAGAGGCCTTCGGTGTCAACGCCAAGCCAGCCCCTGCCCTCTACACCCCAGTCCCAGAGTTCAGCCTCCTCCTGACCTGCCTCAGGGAGGATCTGAAGTCTGTCTCAGGCCCACCAGCCTGACCTTTGAGGTCTTGACCCCAGGACGATGCCTGGAGGCAGAGTGACGGGGCTGGCCCCCTGCCCGGAGCTCAGTGCAGGCCCTGGGAGCCCCAAGAAGGGAAGGCAGGATTTAGGGATGGGAGACTCTGGAAAGGAGACACCTGAGGGCCCTGGTTGAACTCTCTTTTTCTCAGGGTGGGCAGTGGTGCAGCCCCTCAGACCTGACTTCCTGGGCAGGGGTGGGGGTGGGGGTGCATCCTCAGAAGGGCTCCCCCTTTACTGGTTCCCCTTGCCCTCTTCACAAACAATAAAGACGATGACTTTCTCAAGCTGTGCTTAGACTCACGAACACACAGAGGCTGGGCACAGTGGCTCACACCTATAATTCCAGAACTTTAGGAGGCCAAGGTGGGTGGATCATCTAAGGTCAGGAGTTTAAGACCAGCCTGGCCAACATGGCGAAACCCTGTTTCTACTAAAAATACAAAAATTAGCCAGGCATGGCAGCACATGCCTGTAATCTCAGCTACTGAAGAGGCTGAGGCAAGACAACTGCTTGAACCCAGGAGGCGGAGGTTGCAGTGAGCTGAGATCGTGTCACTGCACTCCAGCCTGGGTGACACAGCAGGACTCTGTCTCAAAAACAAACAAACAAACAAAAAGAATCGCAGACAGAGAGGGAAAGAGGCTTTTCTGAGGCCACACAGCTCTTCTGGCAGGGTCCTGGGATATGTGCCTCAGGCTGACCATGTCCCCTGGGAGACGTGGCTCCTTGCAGACTAAGAAAATGATTTGGGGTGGTGTGGGGGGGGGGACACGCAGTACTGAGGTGGCTGAGGAGGTGAGGGGGCTGGGGAATGGACACTAGGTCTGGTACCCACCTGCAGTCTTGGGTGGACAGTGGTCATGTCCTGTCCCATCCCAGGCTGGGAAACAGCTGAAGGACGCACAATGCTGACAGGGTCTCTGCTGGGTGCCCTGGGGTCCCCAGTCCTGACCTTGACTTCTCTAAGGCCATGAGCACCCTTCCCATCTCAGCCTGTTCAGGACCCTGCTCAGGAAGGCCAGAGGGTTGGGTCCCAGCTCCTCCACTACCCTCTGTGTGACCTTGGACAGGCCACTGTCTCTCTCTGAGCCTGGCAGAAGAATTACCACCTCGTGCTGGGTGCCTGCCATGTGCCAGGTACTTTCACTGTCCCATCTCATTTTGACATCAGCCCCAAGAGGCAGGCACTGTTATCTCCTATTACAGTCAGAAACTGAGCCTCAGAGAGGTTAAGTGACTTGCTCAAGAGCACACAGGCATTAAGTAGCAAAGCTAGGATTTGAATCCATGTGGCCTGACCCCCAGAGCTCAAGTGCTTTGAATGCTCCCTGCTAACCCTCTTATTGAAAATCTGGGGCCAGGGAAACTAACAGAGATGAGAAATATGGCACGTCCATTACCAGCAGGTTCTGGGATGTGGTTCCAGCCACCTTGATGCAAGGGAGCCTGAGGCTTCAGTGTTCTAGCCCAGCCCCAGCGCTCAGGGCCCTTTGGTTCCATGGGGATCCAGGGCTGCAGCTCAGGGCCTTTTCCTAGGGAAGGCTCCATAGGGCAAAGGAACCTCCCAGCCAATGGCCTTTCTGGAGGGGGTTTGAAAGGTGTGGGGGTAGCAGAGAAGGCATCAGGGAGGTGAGGCCTGGAGAGGGCACCTTGAGGATTCCAGGCTCTGCTGGGTCCCTGCCTCTCCGCAAAGGCACCGCACTCACCTGAAGGCTGCTGCTTGGGAGCAGGGAGGGACGGCCCAAGGATCCTTCATGCTCCACGCTCAGCACACCTGGGATACAGAGCAGGCTGCACCCAAGGCTGGGCCGGGTGGTTTCAGCTCATCCACCCAAGAATGGCCACCACTTGCCCAGTCTTTAAACCTGAACCTGAACAGGCCTCTCATCCCAGGGTGTGGTAGCTGGGGTGGGGGAAATGCCTGTGGAAGCCCCCTCCCCCAAAACAGGACCCAGTCCTCCCCGGCTGGGAGTGTGCTCTGTTCCCTCCGGGCAGGAAACCTGCCCCAGTCTGGGAGGAAATGGCTCAGTTAGGTGGGCACAGGGCCAGCTTCTTGCCAGACCCAGACTGGGCTCTGGGTTCCAAGCGGGGCCAGTGTTTTTTCTGGAATGTGCTTCAGCCTCTCGATCCCTGGCACAGCCTGGGCCCCATTAGGGACAGGGCCAGAAGGGGACTGGACTCAGCAGTCCTTTCCTTTTTATGGGCACAGGGATTGTTTTCCAAACAAAAATTGGGACACGTGGGCTTGAGTAGGATTCTTTTCTTATCGAATTATTTTTGTGAAAAGACTGGCAAGGGCATAAAATGAGCTCACTCTAAATGAGGCATTTAGCAATCTCCACACCAAATGGAGAAAAGCGGCCTGAAATCCAGCAGGCATAGGACAATCTAAATGTACTGTCTGAGCAAAGCATGAGGCTGGGACCAGTTCCCATGGGGACCCTAAGAGCCTGAACCCTGGGCCCTTACCAATAGGACCAAGGTCCCAAGGTGAGGGCAACCTCATGCTGAAGAGGTAGGGAGCAGTGTTCCCACGCTCTGCGTAAAGTGGGTAGTGACCTCTGGGCAGCTGGGATTGGGGTAAGCTGGCCTCCCCATCCTGAGCTCCCCACTTCTGGTTTTTCTGAGCTCTAGCATTTTCCTTCTGAGGGCCTTGCATTTCTTCACCCATTCATTCATTCAGTAAGTTATAACTGAGAACCTGCCTGGAGCCAGGCATTAGGCTGGCATTGGGGATACTGAGAGGAGTGAGGGAAGTTTCCCTCCACAAAGTGCTGCAAAAAAATTAAAGCTGGGTTAGGTGCGGTGGCTCATGCCTGTAATCTCAGCACTTTGAAAGCCCGAGGTGGGTGGATCATGAGGTCAGGAGTTCGAGACCAGCCTGGCCAACATCATGAAACTCCGTCTCTACTAAAAATACAAAAATTAGCTGGATGTGGGACTATAGCTCACGCCTATAGTCCCAGCTACTTGGGAGGCTGAGGCAGGAGAATTGCTTAAACTTGGGAGTCAGAGTTTGCAGTGAGCCGAGATCACACTGCTGCACTCCAGCCTGGCAACAGAGCAAGACTCCGGCTCAAAAAAAAAAAAAAACTAAAGTAAAGCCAGGTGATGGGGTGGAGTGGCGGGCAGGCACAAAGGTACATTTGTTATCTATAGATGTAACAAATTACCCCCCCAGAATTTAAGAGTTTAAGACAACAGACATGGATCATCTCATCTTTCTGTGGGTCAGGGATCTGGGTGCAGCTGAGCTGGGTCCTGTGTCTCAGGGCTGCTGTCAAGGTGTCACCGAGGCTGCGGTGTCATCTTAAGGCCCAGGGCCTCCCTCCTTCCTTGCCACATGGGCCTCCCACAGGGAAGCCCCACAATGTGGCAGCTGGCTTTCCTCAGGGTCAGCCAGGGAGAGGATTGGAGGACAAGTGAGCCCAGGCCTCGTTCTTTTTGTGACTCAGTACTGAAAGTGATATCCCATTGTTTTGGCTACAATCTATCAGTGAGGAGAGGTCCCCAGGTCCCCAGCTGAAGGGAGGACATGAATCCCAGGAGGTGGGGCTCCTAGGGGCATCTCAGAAGCTGCTATCACAGAGGGCTCCTGGGAGGAGGGGACATTGGATCAGAGACCTGAACAAAGCAAGGGGGAACCAGGCAAACAGCAGAGGGAAGAACGTCCCAAGCTGAGAATACCACTCAGCAAGCGCCTTGTGGCGGGAACAGGCTGGGGCATTTAGGAAGGTGTGGTGGTTCACGCCTATAATCCCAGCACTTGGGAGGCCGAAGCAGGCAGATCATCTGAGGTCACGAGTTCAAGACCAGCCTGACCAACATGGTGAAACCCTGTCTCTCCAAAAATACAAAAATTAGCTGCGTGTGGTGAGATGGGCACCTGTAGTCCCAGCTACTCAGGAGGCTGAGGCAGGAAAATTACTTGAACTTGGGAGGCAGAGATTGCAGTGATCATGCCACTGCACTCCAGCCTGGGTGACAGAGCAAGACTCCCTCTCCAAAAAAAAGGGAAAAAAAGGAAGGTGGTAGAGAGGGTAAGGCAGCTGGGCCTGGAGCACTGGGCAAGGCTGAGGACTGTGTTGACCTGAGGGAAGCCAGCAGAAGGTTTTGCACAAGGACGTGAGGAAGCTGACGTACACCTTGAGAAGAATCCTCTTGTGGCTGTTTTCAGAATAGTCTGGAAGCATTTGAATAACCCAGGTGAGAAGATGAGCATTCCCAGGCCAGGGGGGTGGTATTGAAGCCCAGCAAGGTTTCAAGGCTCCAGAGTGGACTGAGGGGCTGAGGAGGGGTCAGTGTGGCTGGAGCAGAGGGTTGAGGGGTGCAGTGGTGGGAAATACTACCAGGGGTGGGTTGGGGCGGGATCACACAGGGCCGGGGTGAGGGATTTGGCATTGTCCCAGAGAGCAGTGGGGAGCCATAGAGGGCTGTGCAAAGAAGGGCATTAGGTGCTGCTTTAGTGAGGGGCTCTGGCTGCTGTGAGGAGAGGGGATTGTAAATAATAAAAGTGAGGCATATGGGTCAGGCGTTGTGGCTCACACCTGTAATCCCAGCACTTTGGGAGGCTGAGGCGGGAGGATTTTGTGAGCCCAGGAGTTCGAGGCCAGTCTGGGCAGCATAGCAAGACCTCATCTCTACAGATAATTAAAAAAAAATTAGCTGGGCATGGTGGTGTGTCCCTGTAGTCTCAGCTGCTTGGGAGGCTGAGGCGTGAGGATCACTTGGGCCCAGGAGGTGGAGGCTGCAGTGAATCATAATCACACCACTTGCACTCCAGCCTGGGCAACAGAGCAAGACCCCATCTCAAAATAAAATAAGAAAGATCAAGGCAGATCCCATTTTAAGGACTCCCTTAAGAAAAATAATACAGGATTCGTATGAAGATGACTATTTTGGGGGGGGGGCAGTCTCACTATGTCACCAGGCTGGAGTGCAATATGGAGATCTCAGCTTACTGCAACCTCTGCCTCCCGGGTTCAGGCGATTCTCCTGCCTCAGCCTACTGAGTAACTGGGATTACAGGCATGCACCACCACACTGGCTAATTTTTGTTTTTTGGTTTTTTTTTTGAGATGGAGTTTCGCTGTTGTTACCCAGACTGGAGTGCAATGGCATGATCTCGGCTCACCCCAACCTCCGCCTTCTGGGTTCAAGCAATTATCCTGCCTCCGCCTCCCAAGTAGCTGGGACTACAGGCGTGCAGCACCATGCCCAGCTAATTTTTGTATTTTTGGTAGAGATGTGGTTTCACTTTGTTGACCAGGATAGTCTCGATCTCTTGACCTCGTGATCCACCCGCCTCGGCCTCCCAAAGTGCTGGGATTATAGGCGTGAGCCACCACGCCCGGCCAATTTTTGTATTTTTAGTACAGATGGGGTTTCCCCATGTTGGCCAGGCTGGTCTCAAACTCCTGACCTCAGGCCTCCCAAAGTGCTGGGATTACAGGCATGAGCCACTGCGCCTGGCTGAAAGTGACTAGAACAAGGAGAAGAAGCACAACTATGACTGGAGACTTGAAGATCTGGGCTCTTCTGATGTCTCCCTGGGCAGTTTGCCAGGTGTGCTTCATGGACTCCCTTCCTAAGCAAAACCGGCTTCCCTCCTGGTCTAGAACACTCTGTAACACCCAGAAGTTCCCAGCCTTCATAGGGGCCATGGGAGTGAGGCCATGAGCATAAGTTTTATTAACTTCACAATAAGCCCACCTCTGGCTAAGAGAGAAGGGGAGACCCACAGAGGTG